GTTATATGTTACATTATAGGAACATTCTGTGTTTCTTGGGGAATCACCCTTTGTGTTGTTTTTCCAAACTTGTTATTGTTGGTTAAGTTTAGTTGAGTGGCCCCACTGATCTGACTAACAAAGCAACAAAGGCACTTGTCACAGCAAGCACTCTCAATACAATATAAATCTCTTTTGTAACAGATGCAATATGTAACTTAAATCCTGTCTTTGTGTAGCAGTCTTCAGTGTTTTTGTACTTCAGTATTGTCATGTCTTGCCTTTTCTGCTGCTCATTTAGCTGTCTGGTCACTATTATGTTGCTGTCTTTGTTATTAAAACCTCTGATCTATTGTAAGAGTATTTACTCATTCTGGGGTTTTTGCTGTGCAGGGGCTGTGAGTGTGACTTGCTTATAACGGACGTAATGTCATAATGCAATATATTCTTGGTTGTTAATGGTTGCCATGCAAAGGTAATGATGGCACAGTGATTTTGAGGAGGAGATGAGCTGTTATTTCTGTAGAGATGATGATTAGTAAAAAGCCATTGTGAAGTTCACACAGACTCTCAATGTAAGCGAAGGCTCAAATATATAAAAAAAAATAATAATAAAAAGCTTTTTTTTTTTTATTACCACATACATGTCATAAACGTAAGACAGAAAAATAATACTATTGCTTTTTTATGTATGGATGCATTGCAAAATCAAGGCTGCAAGTAAAATAAACATATAATGTATGTGTATATATATATATATATATATATATAAACAAAATATACAAACACAATAAATGGGTTGCAACATGGCAAACCCACATATATATATATATATATATATATATATATATAAAATAAATAAATAAAATGCTTGGTGACTGATTAAATGTTATGATCTATCAGCTTGGCCGATCATTAGCTGATAACTAAGCAGTTAAATTGATTTGTTTTCAAAATACATCAGTTACAAAATATGCTGAAAGCCCTTTTAATAATAAACAATAATTAAGTTTAGTCCACTGATCTATATACAA